CCAGAATGGCATGATAGGCACTCTGGAAATCCACAACCTCAAACGTCAACTTCTCCTTGCGGAAATTCTTCTCATCGCCGAAAACCACATCAAGAGTGATCTGGGTGAGTGATTCAACTTTCTTTCCTGGGATGATTCCATGGAACCGCATGTTGCTCTCGCTGAGTTTGGACATCGGAATGCCCATTCCTTTGAGGGCCTCAGCATATAGAATATTCAGACCACTGCCACCATCCATCAGAACCTTGGTCAGTCAGGTGCCTCCCACGACTGGGTCGACCACCAGCGATGCCGCCCAGGGGTAGCTACGCGTACCGGGTGGTCGGACTGGTCGAATGTAATGGGGTTTTTTGACCACTTAAATACTTTGGTGTTGCCAGAGCAACCATGTTCACCTCTCTGTTAATGACCTTCAGTCGACTTTTGCTCTTGATATCGGCAAAAATCACCAAGGTGGCATTGACATTGGGGTAACCACCATCATCATCCTTATCTTCTTCTTCCTTCTCAGACTCTTTGTCCTTATCACTGGGTTTACTCTCTCGGAAGTTCTAGATTAGGAGTCGACATTGTCGAGTGGTATGCTTGGGGAGAATCAGGTTCCCCTCCTCATCCTTCTTGGTGTGAATATGACATGGCAAATCTATCACATCGTTTCCTTCCTGGTCCTTCACTTTCTTTGGGATCCAAGGCCCTTTGGGCTTCCCTTTGAACTTTTGTTGATTCAACACTGCTGCCTCGACAGGACCTGCTGCCTCAGCCTTTCGCTTTTGCTTCTGACTGGAATTTCCTCCTCCGGTGTCCTGGGCGACTGTTTTGTGCTTGCCACTCCTGAGTCGGTCCTCCTCTTCGCCATTAGCGTACTTGGTGGCAATCTCCATCATCCGAGTCAAAGACATATCTCCAGTCCGACCGAACTTCAGATTGAGCTCTTTGTAGCGAACGCCTTCCTTGAAGGCACAGACTGCTTGATGATCTGACACATTCTCCACTGTGTGGTGCAGAGTGATCCATCTCTGGATATAGTCTCTCAAGGTTTCATTCGGTTTCTGCATGCAATGCTGCAACTCCGGTAGACCAGCAGGTCTCTTGCAGGTGCCCTCAAATGTTCTGGTGAACACTCGGGCTAACTCATCCCAACTCAAAATGCTCCCAGTGGCCAACTAGTTCAGCCAAGCCCTGGCAGAACCTTCAACATCAAAGGAAGGTGCTTCACGGCCACCTCATCGCTGCCACCACCGATGTGCACAGCCACTCGGTAGTCTTCAAGCCAAGTATCGGGCTTCGACTATCCTGTGAACTTACTGACGCCAGTCGCCAATATGAAGTTATGAGGAATCTCAGCGGCTCTGATGGCTCTTCCGAAACACTCTGGGCCAGAAACGTGGACTCTGCTTCCACTGGGTCTGTCTCTATCCAGCCCTTCTCTGTACGCTTTGTTCCGGTCGACCAAACCCTGCCCAAGGACGGATCTTGCATCGAAGCCAGGCTCTCTGGGGTTGACTAGAACTCTGCGGTCATTCCCATATGGACGCCTGTCATCATATCGCCGGGGCGCGTATGACCCGTCCCTCGGAAGGGGCGAGGGCGCTCGGCGGTGGTTGTCGCGGGCGTACTCACGATCATATTCTCCATGAGCTCTTCCCAGGTGCCGATCCTGGTGGTGATCACGACCTCCATGCCGCAAAGGCGACCTATGACTGTGTGCCGACTGAACGGTGTTTGCTCTTACTGATCTGCTGTGGATTCTGTTCCGCGACTGGGACACAGCGGAGTTCTGGTCTCCTGTTGCTCAGAGCAGCGTTCTGATCTGTTCCAAGCCTTTTCCAGCCTCCGAACGGGACGACTGAATGGACTCTGCAATACGCGCAACGGCTGCAAGATTCTGAATCGGTGTGCGGAATACCTGAGTTTCCGGTGGAAACAATTGTCGTGGACGTCGACTGGACTCGGGGATCAGCCGACGAGCACGCTCGTCGAGAGAATGTTGGAGATTCTCCAGACGAGTGCGCTCAGCCAGAGTGGCCAGGCGCACTGCCTCCAAGGCCCGGGACTCGGTGGTTTCCCCTATGATGGGGGTCTGGAGAGCCTCCACATTGCGGCGATGCAGCTCCTCCCTCTGCTGCGAGCTGAGAAGTTGGTGTTGATACTCTTCATGGTCGAATGACGGGTCGTCGCTTCTGCCGCCGTCGCCACTGCGACGAAAACCAGGCGGACCGCGATGGGAGTAGACCATGAGGACCTCCGCCGCGGGGTCACAACTCCCGCTCTCGAAAAAGATATCTGCGAAATCAGTCGACAGGTCGACCGGTCCGCAGGGAAATACGTCGGGCTCGATCGCCGCGACTTGGGGGGTGAATGCCTGTCGAGCCACCGCGTGTCTCACCCACCGCTGGAGCCACGAACGCCCAGACCGCTTGCGGCGGCGTCCAACAGAGTGAGACGACGACGTGATGACCGACTGGTACGGGGAAGACGGCTGCCGAAGGAGGACGGCGCAGGAACTCGTGTGGAAGTGCGACGAGACACGAGCCGGGAGAGCCTCGACATCGAGGGGGGCCTCCTGGAGCCAGGCAGAGTCATCGGCGACGAAAGTGAGCGCGCCGAGTTGAAACTCGTGGTCCATGACCAAACCGCCGCCGGAAACCATGCTGATGAAGATCGAAGAAAATGCAACCTCGCCGGAAGTCGCTAAGACGCTTTGCCCCATGGTGGGCGCCAACCTAAGTCTGACAGTAATTATAGGGGGTACGAATGAGGAGGCAAGGTCCTAGCTACGGTGAGATTGTACGCAAGTGTTTACTAGTTCAGGCCCCTCTCGGAGGAGGTAAAAGCCCTACGTCTCGGTGCCCTGAGGCGGTCGACTGGAATATGGGAGTATGTGTTACAGGGGGTGCGAACCCTTGTGCCAGAGGAGGGTGGTGGCTTATATAGAGTGCGCCAGGACCCCAGCCATCCCCCGTTACCAAGAGTTCAATGTACATAAAGATGGGGCGTTACTGATAACGCCAGCCATAAAGTGCTTTCAATGATCTTAAAGACTACAGAGTGAACGCCTGACCATTGCTATTCTGGTCGATTCCTGGTCTTCGATAGGTCGAGTGATTTCCTGTATGGTCGAATGATATTAAGAGGGAGGGGTACCCGAGTGAGGTGACTGGTCGAGTAGATTGCACTCGACGCCTTCAATTGGTACTCCATGATGTGTCTTGGATGTCTTTGCTTCTAGGGTAGTGACCTTGGGTAGGGTGTATAGGTCAAGCCTATGACCCTACCCTAGGTCTATATCGTCATCAGTGGCGTCGCAGGATCTTTGGATATGGCATTCATTCTCCGGCATGGCAGGTTCTCACAATGATATCAACGTGTTGCAGCGTTCTCTAATCTTCGCAAGGCTTGTAGAAGGCCACTCCCCACCTGTCAACTTTGAGATCAACGGCCACCAGTACAACAAGGGATACTACCTAGCTAATGGTATATATCCTCAGTGGTCAACTTTTGTGAAGACAATCTCGAACCCCTAAGGTGAGAAGAGAAAGAGATTTGCCCAAATGCAAGAGAGTGCTAGAAAGGATGTGGAACGTGCTTTTGGTGTGCTCCAATCCCGATGGGGTATCGTTCGAAACCCTACGCTGACATGATATGAAGGGAAGCTTTGGGAGGTGATGACTGCTTGTGTGATCATGCGCAACATGATCGTCGAGGACGAGCGTAATGACAGCATCTTCGACCAAGGATTTGATTATCAAGATGAAATGTTGAGCCCCTGCACCAAGAACCGACCATGTTTGAACAATTTGCCCAATTTCATCGTGAAATGCGTGATTGGCACACTCATTTGGATCTTCAAAATGACTTGGTTGAGCAAGTGCGGGCTCACATTGGCAACCAATAAATGTATTGGTTCATTAAGACAATTTCGATATGGTTGTAAAACTATTTTATTTAGAGACAATTTCGATTGGGTTGTAAAACTATTTTTATTTGGACGTGCAAACTTGTTTTGAACATTGAAATATGACTATATGGGCATTTTTGGCCGTCACGAACAGGATGGGGTCAAAGGATGCGGCCGCGCACTGGGCGCACGGTCACCGCATCCCAGGACAGGCCCGGACACGGCCTCATTGCCCTACCCAAACGGACAGAATTCATGCCAAACGGACGTCCATTTGGGGTCGTACGCTATAGTTGGCCTTACCCCATCTAAGCACCTGTGTAGACTTGCAATACTATCTCTCCTTTACCCACAAAACAAAGAACACTTGTATCTAAGCACTCTGCACTGTACAAAACCTCAACCTCCCTTTTCCAGAAGAGAGCTAGGCCTCCCTTCCTCCCAACACTTGCTGAAACGGTTTTAAAGGAAGACACTCAGACATCAAGCAAAGCACGGATTGCCGCAGCATTACCCATGCCATGGCAGTTCCAAAATAACAGCTTCATAGATGGCAGCGGTCCCCTCCGCGAGACCCCGCCGATCCTATAAAACTTCCAGATGCAATAGCAAGGAGACCTCACGAACAAAACAGGAACCCTAGATGGCGCAACTACCACCGCTTGATAGCCAAAGAACAACCAGCGTCTAGGGAGAGTAAAGCAGCATAGTAGAACAGCTGCTTTCATTAAATTATTATCATTAGAAAGATAAACGCAACAGTTCACCTTTGCCGTTTTACTCTTAATCTGCCTAAGACTACGATAGTTACCAACCAAAACAGTCAGTGATATACCAATTCCCATATGTAACAGTAATACGGTAGGAACCAAAGGACTAGCAAACAATTCCCGTACATTCCATCGACCATTACACATGCGGAAATTGAAACAAGCAACTAGAAAACTGCCTGTAAACTTCAGTTAAGATTCTGTTCACAGCTCGCAGAGAATACAAATACGAGAGGCAAGACATGGCCAGGTAGAATTCCAGGGGGTGAGGCTTCTCCCTTCCGAGGAACACCGGTGGATAAGGGCTCTAATGTTCTATATGGATGCCATGCTCATCGGTTACCACCACCGCCGCGGACACCGTATCCCCCTCTGCCTCGCCGCTGCTGCTGACCACGCCGCTGCTGGTTAAACTGATGGCCATGGGTAGTAGCATTTGATTGCTGCGGTGGCATGATCCTCATCCGCTGCTGCTTCATCTGTGCAAAGAGCGCATCCATTGTCCTTGGAGGCTCATTCTGCATCTCCTTACCCTAGCAACAGAAAGATAACATTATTAGCTATGCTTAAAAAAGGTATTAGGTGGACAACAAATGCAATGCAAATATGAAATGTTTAGGTTGCGTTTCATGTCTCATGCAACTCAAGAAAAAACAGCCTGTGAAAATAGTGTTCATCATCATGTTTGTCACCAGGGTGCAAAAAAAATTTTACTTGAGAAAACTAGCCAATACACATAAAATGTAGGACACCAAATGTCAGAAACCATTTACAGATTAGAACAAAAAGGGTTGCCCAAGAAATAAGAGTATACTACCCCCTCTGTATGAGTTTATAGCAGAATAGCAGGATTTAGCGGAGCGCGGTATTAATTGGGTTTCCCCATCATTAATCACTGCTAATTGTGGTTAATTAATCCCACCACGATCGCTACTTGCCCACTCCCCTGCATGAGCTCGCCCTTTTTACACGCATGCCAATGGGGGAGATTAAAGCCCGAAAAGACAGCAAGGATTATCTCCACGTACACTAACTGCCCAGTAATTAATTGCGTCGGGAGAAATAGAAAGAAAAATGAACGGCCTTGCCAAGCGATCGAGGGAGCGGCCTTGGAAAAACGGATGCGCCTACGTTGCTCTCTGGCCCAATAAACCCAGACAGAGGGAGTACTGATTAGGAAAAGAAATGAATATCAACCATCTCAATCCACTTGTTTACTCTACAGATAAAGTACAGGGAAAACTTTATTCTAAAAGACAGCACACTCAATACAACATGTAATAGCCCACAGTGCCCACTGGGTCTTTTCAGAACCCAGGAATTAGAAATCGTTGCGATAGGAAAAATACATGAATAGATATCAGTATATCACATATACTATGGTTTCCTACATGATCTCAAAACATAGGAATTTTGAAGCAGTGTGTTCCGATGGTTCACAGGAAATAAACACAGGAATTGTGAATGCATGAGAGTCGATAGAGACAAAGAGAAAGTGTACTGGACTTCTGAAAGGAAAAGGAAAATGAGTGTTTAGATCACTACTTTAGTGATCTAAATACTCTTCTATTTCTTTAAGGAGGGAGTACTAAAGTTGTACTAAATCAGCGACACTTATTTTGGGACAGAGGGAGTATTAGATTTCCTATGGAATTGCAGCAATAGGATGCATCCACTGGAATTTGTCAGCCAGAATCCTATATCCAAAATTCCAAGGGCTGGAACAACATTTGTGTGAAATACAATACTAAAGGGTGAGTAAAATGCTAGATGTCACTCTGCAAAGAAGATGCTGTTTTTCGATAGTGGAAATGCATGCAAAGCAAACACGCATCAAGAGATGTTACTAGGAGTTGGGTATGAAGTCGGTTTTTAAGCAACTTTCCATGCATGCACAAGAATACCTTCCAACTCCTAACCATCATAAATGAAAAACAATCTAGTTTTAACTACTCTAATCAGAGAAAGATATGTCTAAATGTGTATTGATGTCTTCCAAGTAACAACCAAATCTCATAACTAGCTCCACTACCTACCGTAAAATGCATATAAACATCTTTTTTTTCCTTAGATAGCCATCCCTGAAGTACTCTTTAGAATAGCACACTGGCGCTATCTCTTCTGTACATGCATCCCTATCAGTGATCATTTTAGCAGGCATATATATGGCCACGGCATACACAGGGCGACAAACAACTTTGCGGGTTTGTTATTTGGCAAGTAACTCCACCTAAACATGTGGAGTATTAAATACATCTACTACCAAGCAATACTGGTAATACGTAATACTGGATAACTGATCCAGATCAGCATGGCCTATTATGAAACAAGAATAGAATCCTGGTACCACAAGTATCCTTTTTAGAAGTAAAATTTTCTCTTAGCACGACGTTGTTGAAGAAGCATAAAACAAGTGAAAAGGTTGGCATCAGATACCTAGACAATCAGAATGATAATTAGATAAAATTAGTTACTAGCTGTGCTACAATGGTGCTCCAATTCCTACAAGGTAGAGAACTGAAGCCAGTGGACAAATAGATCAATAAGGTTTACACACTAAATAACAACAAAATTGAAAGGCTTCTCAAATACTATAAAGACCAATGATCCTAGTTTATATTGCTAACTCTACTTCCATTTCAAATCAATTTGTACCTTGCTGTTCTGAAGAGCCTCGCTTACGGGCCTCCTCTGTGCTGAGGTAGACGGGCCACTGCATACAGAGCAAAACATTAGTGGCCCACATGAGGAGTTACCTCAAGTACCAAGAATTGTGTGAAACAGAGAACCAAACAGGTAGTTTTAATGGTCTGTGCTTCATGGCAAGGTAAAGCACAATCACCGTACTCTTCAAAATGAGAATTCTCTATGCTCTAAATCAGGTTCACATACCATGTTTTTGAACAAAACAAAGCAATAAAATGATAACTATAACTGATTTCTGATCAAAGACTGCATATATATAGATTCCACTTGATCCATAAGGCCTCGACATCCTATACAGTTACATCCACCAAATTTGAATGCAGACAATCCCACAATTTTCCCAGTTGACACAATTTTACTGCTTGGTCGGACCATTAAGCTCATAATAGCAAGTTAGACTGCTGGGACAGAATCAACCCAAAGGCATGCTAGGAATCAGGGAAAGTGATCACATCGGTTGGCCCCAAAAGGTAGCCTCCATACAGCACAGCGCACCGGGATGATTCTTGACAAGAAAATTCATGAGATACCATGATATACTATCACCCAGTTGAACTGTGGAAACTTGGCTAGCTTCTTTGCTGAGAACCAGTGAACAATTGAAAACATAGAGCACTTGCTGATCGAAATCCAAGATGGCACCGGAAATAATGCACGACACGATGATACAACCAACCAGGCACATGAGAACAGCAGCAAAATAAATTACTGAGACGCAGCATACCACAATTTTGTTGGTGTGAACACACTAACCTACATTCACACTGTTTTCATGAACAAACAAAAGCTTATCGTCTGCACGACGAGCTAGTGGTCAAAACCGGTCATACAAAGAATCTGTTGTGTCCAGTGGGCAGTGGTATCAGATGCTAGAAAGTATCATATCCAGCTCCTACCAAGTCAGCAAATGAGAACAAGGTTGACCACCCAAACAAATAGTGTTGACCACCCAAAATAGCACCAGTCCAACTGCTAATACATCATAAATAGCCTTGTTGTACGTAAGGCAACACCAGATGTACATCCAAGGTGTTCCAGCAGCTTCACAAATTTGACCATCAGTCCATCACAGCCAGAATAGAAGTAACCCATAGCTTTGTGAGTTTACCCTTAGATAACCATGCAATCCAGTATGATCTGCTTAGTTTACTGCAACTCTTATTCATCATGTATTTCTCACACTTCAACCAAAAAGTAGGCCTTGTGCCACAATACTACGAAGTTGGTTGATGTTTAAACTTCCATGTGAACCAATGGAATATGATAGCAGCAAAATTAATATGGGTTCGACAGAAACACCAGCACCATAACCATTCTCAGCCAATAGACCCAAAGGTGCACAAGTCAAATTATTTAACGGGTCCTTGAATACCACCTTATCATTAAGCAATAAAAGAGCCATTCTTTACCTGTTCATAATTTGTTTGTTCAGATAAAGTGACTAGAGTAACTACACAAAGACAGATAACATTGTAGTGATTGGTTGATACCTTGGTTTGTTCCATCTGTCAGCCCTACCACGCACAGGCATGGTAGCAGCCTTGTTTGCAGCCTGCTTTGTGATTTGGAACTGATTTGCATCAAGATTTGACCTCCTTTGTGCCAGAACACCCTAACAAACAAAAGCAACATTAGAAAACCAACATAAGGCAATCTATAAACAGTAACTTAGAGCGGCATAACATACTTGTCGTATAGATGACCTAGACTCATGAAATCGCTGAACCTTTGCCTTCCCTTGATTACTATTACCATTCTGAAAAGGACGCTTTTTTACCTGTGATTATAGTAAGTATGGTAAGTATCAGAACTTGGCAGTACATTAACAATGTAAAGGAAGAGGGACACTTAAATGAATTATAAGGCTTACCTGCTGTCTAGGGGCTTTCTTGCCTGCAGGAATTTTTTTCTTTGACATCTTAATAATATCCTCTGTATAAACACACAAGAAAAACCATGAGCTAAGTAAATCTCCAAGACATGAATCAGCGTCACAGAACAACAACAAAATAAATATCATACCCAGAGTCATGTCCATCTTTTTCTCGGTAAAGGCAATAGCTTCAGCAGTGAGTGGCACTGAATCCATATCTGAAAGCAATCAGGGAAAGAACCGCTAAAATGCACTGATACGGACACGCGTATCAGTATCAGGCTGATACAGAACGTAAATTTGCCATTTTGGAAAAGCGCCAATACAGGGATATGTTTTGCCATTTTTTAGTTCACAAAAAAAATGTATAGAAGCCAGGAACAGCAGATTACCACCTTGTTTGCTGCTCTCCTGAGGATGCAGAAGCAGCTCCAAGCCTCTCCAATTGACAATGTTGATGCCCTGTTCAAAAGGGATAGAATTAGACTTTAGTAAGTGTAAAATTAGTATGGAGCGGCAAATCAAATCATTAGGTTGTGATTGGTTCAGCTGAAGATTTTGGAAAAGCTGCTGTGAACTGTGGAAAAGCAGCTGTGAGCTGAGAACTGTGAGAAAGCTGAGAGTTGTTTGGTTGGAACAACAGAGAAACTGTGGATTGAGTTTGAATAGTCCGTAATGCCCCCTGATAACCCCGAAGGAAAAACTCATTTTTGTAACATGCGTTCTAGATTATAGTACTACTACACATGTTCTTTCAAAGTTGAAGACACTTCTGAATTTATGTAGTTTTGTTCCAATTCACCAACATATGCATTTCAATGTTTACAGAAAATTCATCATATTCATACAAATTCTGCACATAGTTCCGTTTCAATCAAAATTTGTAGACATATTTTCACCCCCAAAAAAAAATCAAACTTGTGACTTGTACATGGACACAGATTTAAAGCCAAAGCATACTCATTCTTCCAAGACGAATACCAAGAACTGATGGCACGATATAACAGAAAGCGATGATCAGTACCAACCTTTGAGCCAATGTTCAAAAAAGCAGAAAGCGGAAGCGAAGCGGAAGGCCACAGCTTAGAGCAATGGGGCACTTAAGCGGGTTTTTTTTAAGTTGGCCAGAATTTGGCTGCTTTTAAATAATATTCACACGAAAATAAGCATAACACATAAATAATTGAAATAGCATGTAAAAATGCAGTTCACACCATTGTAAATACACATCAGGTCCACAAAGCAAGCAAATAGCAGGTAAAAGCCTGCAATGGAGTTCATTTTCAAACAAACATAGCCTAATAATAAGATAAATGGCATGTTGCCATCAATTGCCCAAGCAGAAGCATATTTCACCTGTCTAGAAACATAAACAATAAAAGAGAAATTGAGGAAACAGGCATTGCCCCTTAGTTTTGGATATAACAACAGGTACTGCATGTTGTGTTCGCATAAATGAGTGCATGGGGTATTTATGTGTTGCAGGAAATTTCAACAGTGCGAACCTAAGAATAGTATAGTACTCCCTCAATCCATATTACCTCTATTACTTGTCGCTCAAACGGATGTATCTAGACGTATTTCAGTGCTAGATACATCCATTTGAGCGGCAAGTAATATGGATCGGAGGGAGTATCCATTGTTTTCAAGGCGTCCTGCCTTAGACTCTTAGGCGATAAGGCGCCCTGGGAGCGCCTTACAAATATGCCCGCCTTAGGCGCTTTGGCGTCGCCTAGGCGCTAGAGCGGGTGGGCTCGCCTTAGGTTGCCTTGCCGCCTTATAAACAATGGGAGTATCAGATGTTGTCATTCGCCTCCGCAACACCCTGCCCTTTCCCCTCCCTTCTAACCCTAGCCGAAAACCCAATTCCGGCACAGCCCTCATTACCCCCCTTCTCCCCTGGTGCCTAGCCGATTTCCCCTGGCGCCTAGTCGAGTTCAGCTCCCACCCGAAAGAATTCCCAGTGCTTTCACTCGCCTAACCATGTGCAGCGCACACTAAACCAGCGCCTATGCTAAATCACCACCTAGTCCCGCTAAATTTCACCTAGTGCTAAAGCCATCGCTTAGGGCAGAAGTGAGGTGGTAAGCCATCACTCAGCGCCTAAGCGAGATTAAGCATCGCTTAAAAACGACTTCCCAAACATTGCTTTGAACTTATGGTACGAGTATATAACGAAAAACTAAACAATCGACAACTGCAAACATAGCTCAATGAATCAACATCAAGTGTGCATGTACATGAACCTCACAAAACCAACCCCTACATTGTAAAATCATCTCGTCTAGGACTGCATGGCGCCATCCACATCTGCTTCCCCTTGCACTTCACCAAACATGTACAACCAGTACAACAAAAGCCAGACCAAACACACAATCAATTATCCATCATCAATTCCAAGCACCCACTACATGGACACAATCTGAAATCTATAGCAATTATTCATCACCAATTTCGAATAAAACAAACATTCTATTTTATCAACAAAAATAAATAAAACAAAGTGTGCAATCTGGCAAGATCAAACTAATTCATACTATGGTCTAGGCAAAGTCCAAAGAGAAGCATGGCATTTCATCGATTCTTGCGAGAGACAAACAAAACAAAAAAATCTCCTCCACTCCCCGTGTGTCGACAGAGTAAACATAAACAAAAATAGTCCATCTCCTCTAATCACACTAAACGCAGATCACTTCTTCCAAACAGAGGGATTGCATCAGTACATGTACATGTTCAGTTTGGCGCATCTACAATACAACTGAATCAGCCATCCTTCTTTATAAATAAATAAACAATATAAACGATGTGATCTACACCTGAAGCAGCCATCCATCAACAGCAATTCATAAACAAATACAAAGGAAAAGGAAATAAGAGCATGGCAGGGGATGGATGGAAGGAGTAGGAAGGAGGAGGGAGGAGGAAGGAGAAAGGAGAGGTGGTTACCTAGTGACGCGGCGC